GTATTAATTAAAGTATCCGCGCTGCTATATTATGCATCCGCCTGTTAATTTAAGTATCCGCCCGTTATTAATTAAAGTATCTGCGCTGCTATATTATGTATCCGAAAAACACTAAAAAAAGGGATTTTTGGTAATTAATGAAAGAGTAGGGAAAGGAAGTAATTTCTTTCTTATACTATGTCATTTGCCTAATTTTTACTTTTTTTTTTGGTCTTAAAACCAACTGCTTATAAGCACTTTTTTAAATTTATCCAAACACTCTAAAAATGCGTTAAAGCTATTTTGGCTTGAAAACACTTAAAATAATCTTATCCAAACAGGCTCTAAGTTATGCCTTAAGGTTTTGTAGGAACATAACTATGTCTTGTAAGGCATAACCTGTGGATTATAAACTTCATAAGACATGACATTTTGAAAGTGAAGTTTATGTCCTTATAATTTGTGGTTATGAAATAAATTTATGTCTCTACCAATATAAGTTCCTTGAAATTACACAACATAATTGGTGTTATATTATGATATAAAAATATAAACTTTTGTCAAGTGATTTCTTTTATTTATTTTTTATGTTGGAGATATTTTTGAGCTCAAACATAAACCTTAAGGGTATTTTTAGACCCAAAAGTGGAAGAGGGGTATTTATAAACCTTTTCCCTAAATAAAAATATTTCTCTCGACTCTTTCTTTTTTAGTGATGGATCTATCGAAAACAACCTCTTCATATCATAAAATTAAGTGTAAAATCCACGTACATTTCACTCTCTTCTTCGTACCTCATTTTGCGAAAAAGCACAGAATAAATTGTTGTTGTTTGTTAGCGTCTCCCTCCATACTTCTACTTCTATATATGCACGAGTGTCTACTGAACATTTCAGTTAGGATTTTCTACTAAATTTAGTATTAGCCTAAATATTTTTACGTAGTGATTTCGTTGACTTTAAATCAACGATCAACGAAGTTTGTTTTTTTCCTATTTTAACGACTTTTGCCCTTTTGAGAACTCTAGAAAGTAAAATAAGTGTGTCTATTCATTGTTATTAATTTGAAAATTGAGTGTATACAATTGGACTTTAATTTTGGCTTCCCATCGAACTTTCCTTCAAACCATAAGCTTCCAAATAATAAGTCATAATTTTGTGGTTATATTTGGCCCACAGCCGACTTATTACTCTCTTCGTTCTATATTAGCTAATCATCTTATTAAAAATAGTTATTTCTTGAACATCTTACTAACTCAATAAATCATTAGTTAGATTTTTCATATATCATCCTTGCAACTAATTTTTTTAAAAACTGTTCACATTAGTTTGTAAAATTTCTAAGAAGTTGTTTTAAGGTGTGAATTAATAAAATTATTTTCTTATTTATAATTTCTTAATATGTAGGTAAAAAGGAAAGTGACAACTAATTGGAACGAAGGGAGTACGTTTTAAAACTAAACCCCTACCAATTAAAACTAACGGTACAATCAGACACTACTAAAAAACTGTCAAAAAGCACGGAAAGTGACGCCAATTGCCACACTGTCCGTCGCTTTTAAATAAAAAAACATATTTTTTAAATTATTTTACAAAAGGCGACGGACGGCATCTCTTAGTCCGTCGATTTTTTGGCGATTTTTTGCACCAAATATATATATAATCAATAATTAATTATTTTGTATAGTAGATGAGGCTGCTTCTTTCTTAACCAAAGGTCTCGAATTCGAACTCTATGTATTAAAAGGTTCTTGGTAGGGAGCGTTTCCTCTCAAATGAAGCCTTACACAACGCAAATTTAAAATAATTGAATTTCAATGCGAATATAGACACCCAATGAGCAACGAAATACGGTAGGCAAAATAGGAAAAGAAGAAGATTTTGACATTCATGATAATTGTACTCGCAACTCCAAATTAGAGAGGAAGAAAAAATCACTTATAATCCACACTTCTTTTCATTTTCATATTTATTAAACAAGTTGCACGAGGAAGAAACTCACTCTACCCAGAAAAAAAGTATATATTTTCGGTCAATAAAAATAAAAGATTATTATTCTATTATTGACCAAACTCTTTCACATTTTTCGTTTGAAAATACTTTTTTTATCCAAATGGATATTGAAAGATAAGAGCTTAAGAGTATCGATGGAATCATTCATTAAATAAAAATAATAACATTTATAATCTATGAAGTATATTCAAATTGCAACAGTACTCTACGAGAAAATAAGGAATTAACAAGGGACAAAGTTCTGTAACTAAAAAAACAAAAATCTTACTCCCTCCGTCTTATTTTATATGGCACTTTTCAGATTTCGAGATTCAAACAAGTTTATCTTTGATTGTAAAATTTTCATAGATCTTTTAAACATTTTAAATTATCAATTATTGTGACTTATAGTACTTTTTACGTAGTTTACAAATATATAAATTTCATTTCAAAAAAATTGAAGATTCCATGCGCAAATTCCCGATCAAACTTAAACTGTTTGACTCTCGAAAAACGAAAAGTGTCACATAAATTGGGATAGAGGGAGTTTGTTATTTCATTCGGCTATGAATTAGCGACTAGAAACTATTTAGCGATGAATTAATTAGAGGAATTATCGATAAATATTGCTTAACATGGTCAACATTCAAACTTCAAACATTGCCCCCGGTCACTAGAACCTGACCAATTCTTAAATCACAAACACAAGAAAAACATGATAGAGGTTAATTAACATGAGATTCGACGTGATTGTGGTGTATGTTATGCAATATTTGATGGATCTATGTTCCATATTCCAAGAGAAAGTATGATAAGCAAAGTTGTTACTCAAATATATAACCAAAGTTAGATGGCTGAAATGAAAAATTGCTAGGAATATGTTATATAAAGGAGGATATATACTTAAATTAAACACAAGTTCTACAAAATGATTAATATTAAGATCGGTATTATTATGTTTCAGTGAATGTTGCACCTTTAAGATCCAACATATTCATAATGAATTTGTCAAAAATACGAATATTGAGATGGATGTGTGGTCATACAGTAATATGGGACAAATTGTTGGTCAGTCTAGAATGATTACGTTCAAAAGATGAATATATCATAGATAGAGATGCTTAAATGGATGTGTGGAGATATTAAAACAGATAAGATTAGAGAAACAAAGATCCACATAACAAGATGAGAGTGACCTCTGTAAGATGAGATAAACGAGGTTGAGATGGTTTGGGCATGTGAATAGGAGGTGTGTGGACGTGCTCGTCAGGAAGTATAAAAGTTTGGCTATAATAGAAGTTAGGAGGGATAGAGGTAAGCCAAAGAATAACTGAGAAAGATGGTTAGATATGACATCACACAACTTAAGCATATTAAAGACATGATCCCTAAAGAGAAAGGATGGAGGTCGGGAATTTTGATAGAAGGTGAGTCGATAGCCGAGAGTTGTTGTATTTCATGTGGGAGAGGCACAGGGCTAGTCTCCCCTCTTTATACATAATCATATTTAGAAATCACATATTTTCTTTGTCATTCAGTACTATTTATTGCTCTAATGTCTTTATGTATCTTTTCTGGTCTCTTATTTCCTTAATCGTGCTTTGAATTCCTCTTTTCTTTTGAGCGGGAGGTCTATCAAAAACAATATTTCTACAACATAAAGGTAAAGATAGAATCTCCGTATATCTTACTTTTTTCGGACCACACTTTGTAAAAATACAGTAGATAAATCATTGTTGTTTGTTTGTATCTCGAGGGGCAAGCTAGTAGCCCACATGCAAGTTCGTCTGAACCAGTAGATTTTACTTAAACAATGTATATATGTTAATAAATATATTAAATATGTACAAATATTATCACTTAAAATTATTATTTAAAATCAAAGTCCGTAAAATTGAAATTCTAATTTTGCTTGTCTTCCTCCATACTTCTACCTTTGTATATGCCTTGAACATTTCAGTTAGGATAATATATTCCGACAAAATTTGATATTGCCATATATATATTTACGTAATTGTTTGGAATATTATAGTGGAATAAATGTAAAAAGTTAACATGATTTCGTTGACTTTTAATCGTCCATCGAAAAGGTCGATCAACAAAGTACTTTTAATGA